GGAGCGCTCGCACTGAACACCGCGACACCCCCGAGAACGCCTGCCAAGGCCGCAACACCAGGCGCGAAGCCCGTCATGCCCGACGCGCCGTTCGCGCCTCCCTGGCTCGTGCCGCCTGAAGAGATGCGGTTCTTGCCGCTCTGCCCGTTCGATGTCGCGAGAACCGATGGGTCGACCGTCACGGTGTTCGCTGTCTTCGTCACGATGGACGTCGCGAACGTCTGCGGGGCTGCTGGGTCGACCGCCGCTTGTGCGGCATCGGAAAAGAAGACGAGGGCCGCGCCAGGCGCGGGCACCGTGATCTGGCACATGTTCTGCGTCTGGTCGCACTGCACGGTCTGGATGTCTTCATCACCCTTCCATGTACCGTCGGCCTGGAAGCGACCGCCGAGGGTCTGGCCAGCCCAGGTGATGTTGTCCTTCTCGGACACAGAGGGGGCGCGGAGGTACCTGTGGACGTAAATCAGGACCTGTACGGCCGCTCCGATGTGCCATTCATTTTGCTTACTTGACCTTCACGGAGGCAGGAGCGCCGTTGTCCTCGTTGAAGCCCGACCCGCCGACATAGATCGTGGCGGTGTAGTCGTGCGCACCAGTGGGGTCGGTCATGTAGTTGATGAGCGCCATCCGCGCGAAGTTGCCGTTCTCGTAGATCGCGTACGCCGGTGTCTGGTCGTTGCCGTTGTTCGGGAACATGTCCTTCACTTGCGACGTGTTCGTCTGGCCAAGTGCCTCGGCGACGAAGAGCGACGAGTAGAAGATCGGGCCGACGGTCCACTGGTGGAAGGACGACTGGTTCGTGGGTGCCGCTATCATTTGTCAATGTTAGCTCACTATACTTATGCGTGTCAGCAGACTCAGAATCACCTGTGAAGGGCTGCAATAAAAAGGTCATTAATACCGTAAGTTTATATCAATTATTCAATACACGTACGTTGTACGACACGTTCTGACCACCGAAATGGAACAGTGCGCCCGTGAAGTTGCTGTTCGCCATCTGCAGAGCGTAGTCGAGACCCCACAGCGCAGACGTAAACGTGTCGCTGATACCCGGGAATCCACCGCACGACGCT